CGATGCACTGCGAACGGCCGGGAACAATCGATTGTTGATTACATTTCTTTAATCGGTCAAATATAATTTCTTTTTAAAAAAGCACAAACTTTGGGAAAGTTGCTAGTAGGCTTTCTTTTCTCATGCTTTTCTACTTTTAAATTATTTATATAATGTCCCGGAAGAACACATTATTAATTTAGCAATAAATAAAATAAAAATTTTTGCATTATTTTACAGCGTAATTAATGTCAAATGTACAAAAAGAATCAAATATTTGACTTTACGTAAAATAAATTTGCCGATAAATATTTATTCATTTTTAGTTTAACAATGATGGAAAAGTAATTTATACATTTTTTCCTTATTCGACTAAATCGATTATTCTCGGCGAGTTGGCCAGCCTTACGATGTATTTTACTGCGGTCGTTCTCGGTGAGCTACGCCATTCGACAAGATTTAAGAGGTCGGGCTTATGTTGTCGGTGATTCCCGACACCTCTTGGGCTGAAACAGGGTTGGCAATGATGAAAGATTAGTTTCATTCGCTTTTACGTGACCGTCTCTATTAGTTCTATTAGTTTGTAATCACGCAATCACAGACTTTATTTCTCTTTATTAAGCAAACATTTCGTATAATTATTTTAGATAAAATGTCCATCAATTTTTCTTTAATTAACGCGTAACGTTATTACAATATTATACGTTTCAAGTTATTATATGTTTGTTTTCTGTTAATTAAAGAGATTTTTTAAATGTTTAATATGTCTATTTCTCTTTTTCTATTTCTTTCACTCTTTACTATTCATTTTAAAACACATTTTTGCGCCAATCTGAGCGCACCCTCTTATATGTGTGGTATATAAATCGTCGTATATAACTCACAAGAGCTTGTATTAACATACCCAAGAGTTCGAGTTGCGCTAAAAATGGTAGTAAAAGAGCATAAAGTAATCCGACATACTGTATTATATATATAAACGTCGTTTATATGACGTTTTCCTATCCACGATCGCCGTTATAGATGCCATGAAGATACTTTTATGAATTCTTTTACGCTCTGTGGATGATTGTATTGTTGGTTCTCGACGTATGTGTGCATACTACTTGCATGATTCACGGATTGTCGCGTGCTACGTAAAGTACGCGGAAGTTTACGTGCATTTTTCGACGCGTGGGAATCGGCGCACGTGCTCCGTTGAAGAAACATATCAATCAATCGCGATAACAGTCGGAAATCCACCTCAACCGATAGTCACGTGTCGGATAATGCGGTTAGATTTGTGAAAACGTGCACGTAGTGTGCTTAACGCATTACGAACGAATCGCAAAAAAAAAAAATACGTTTTAGATCACGCATTTAGATCACATTGTGAGATATTTTTGATTTCGCGAGCTATAAGTTACTATTTTATTCAATTATAATCACTCATATTTTCAGACTAGTTCTTTGTTCACTCGAGCGAGTTACACGACTGTACAATTGCGAACTTGCTAAGACCATGTACCAACGTTGCATTTGTGAGCGGTTAGCGCTTTGCAAACTATAAAGCGAATGCTCTGTGCGTTGCGTATAAACTCGTGTGCGTTTGTACGCGCGGTCAAGCGCACATAATATCGTATCTATTTAATTAATTTCAGATCCGAGTAATAAAATTTTATTTATTATTACGAATAATAATATAATTAAAATATGTTATAACATTTTTCAAACATTAATATATAAAATATATTTATGTTTTATGTTTTACAGATAAGCTTTGTGCGTATTCGGTGTTATAAAACGTATTCGTTCCGTCGTATAATAAAACGCGCGTCGGGAGTGCCGTTAATGCCGGCCGGGGGTGTCATAATAGTTTCGTGCGAGTATGAAAAGCTGTATTCTGGCGAATCATATAGACGAACGCACCATAAATTTTGAACGCATGATAAATATTGGGACACGATCGAACCTCTTTCGACTTCAGGTTTTCTTCTCGACTTTGAGCTCGGCTCGGAGGAGGGAAGGATCGGTTTTATAACGGGATCCCGATAAAACCGTGGACCCCTTCAGTGTCAGACGTGTCAACATGCCGGAAAGCATGGGGTTGCTTAATTGCAACTATGAAACATAAGATCTGTGGCATAGAAGTCAACTCAGCGACTTCGTCACTTCCGTTTGTTTGATACCGAAATGCTACTGGGACACCACACGCTATCCGGTTGACCCCATCATGATCAATCGCATCTTACTTTCTTCGAGCTTATGCTCTCTGCTTTGAGATAATCGTGTCCCAATTGGTAAGTGCGATCGTCTGAAACGCGGATGGAATTCGCACGTAACGTCGCATCTTGGACAATTTGATTCGCTTGCGACGTCGGGAGTGCCGTTTGAAGTGAGTTCGCGCGATTTTCGTATTCGGGTACGCGCGCGAGCAAGGCGCGCGCCGCGAACGTGTGTGAGTCAATGTGAGTGTTTCGATGGACCGCTGGGAGGAGGAGGAGGTCCAGGGGGCATCAGATGACGTCAGAGAAACATTGCTGTAAGTAATTCATCGCAAAAAAAAGTGCCGGAGAAGTGTCAGGCTTTTTTTAGCGAGACGTATATTAATTTTTAATAATTTGTCAATTATTCATAATGTTTCTGTCGTGTTAAATCTTAAGAACACATACACATACTTTGACCATTTTGGAATGCAAATTAGTACTCATGGGTAATTAGTGACTGAAAAAAGAGAAAATATACAATCAGCTTTAAATTACAGTTATATGCAAAAGTATAAATTAAACAATTAGGAAAAAAATTGAGTGCTTAATTCAACTTTTGTTATAAAAAAATTAATTTTAATTTGGCAATGCAGAAATGTATTCGTATTCGATCAAAATTAAAATTTAGCTCACGGCGCGTATTCCCATTTTTTCGAGCAAGTATATCCAAAGCTTATGTATATATTTACTTGATATTGATCATCGATGCCGATGAGAATAGCAAATCGAGCTCGTGCTTTTCCCGGAAATCGAATAAAGAGAGAATGTATATGAGAGGATATATAATTACAATTTCGTTATAATGGACGGCCGCGCTAATGACACTTTAAAATCACTCTTGGCGCAGTATAAATTAATGTATCTCCGTTCTTTTAAGGATTCTGCGCAGCGCGGTAACGGTAATCATATTTTTGTGTCATAATGCACGACCCCGGTTTAAGCGCTCGCGGACTGAATCATCTTTTTCAACCGTTAAAAGCGTGGAAATGCCGTTACGCAATAGGATTATATCTCCCGCATATCCTGCTTAAATTGCCGAAAGGCTAAAATGTCTCGCATTTTGAACGAAGCAGCTCACTGGAAAACTTTTTCAAGATTCTTTAAGTGAATATTAGCCTTTAATATGCAGCTTTTAATATACGTTAAAAATATGAATTACTCAATTTTTTTTCAAAGTAGTGATTTATTCGATGGAATAATAAAAAACCGATAAAAATAAAACTGTAGAAAGTTTTATCTATAGTTATCTTATTATCACATTATATATTTAATTAGAAAAAAAAACAAAAATTAAGAAGTAATATATTAACAGAGAACAAAAAAATAATTTACTAAAAACTTAAGTTTTCTGTTTTTCTACAGTAAATTCTGGAGTAGACTCATGAAAAAGATTATTATGAGGTGGAGGAATTTAAATTATACTCTTCTGCTTTTCACGAGAAAGACGTGATTTATATAGAAAAACTTCTTTAAGAAAATTTGTTAACTTTACTCACAATACTTTCATCTACATGTGGTGAAGTACGATGCGATAAGAAGTTGCATTCGCGGAGAGATGAAAGATTATTCAGACTCTTCATCCTCTCGAAACGCGGTTTATACAGATCTTTACGAGAGGCTGTTTTAGCATACGCGAAAAATTGCATTTGGCTGATGAATCGCGAGGGACTGCATCAATGTTGGAATTCCGCGTGATGTCGCCGCGCGTGAGCTCAGTTTTTGTTAATAGGATCTGTGTTATCAGTTTTGTGAAATATAATAATATCGCACGATTGGAGAGACGGAAATATTTGTGAAATGCTTGTAATGAGGAGTGCCGGGGAACGCGAAAACATTGAAACTAGTTACATCCTGAACGTCGCTCATTAAGAACAGTGCAAACATGTCTTCCGAGACTCGTTGTGATTCTTCGAAGCACAAATTTTGCGAGATTATTTACGCTCGAGCGTTTCCCGAGATGTTACATTTATGACGGGAAACTCGCGAAGAAAGCTCTTTGAGCGTTTGCTGACTGTCTCATTAGCGGAACGAGTAGAACTTTGTTGTGCGCACTGCATTATTGTATCCGTGTCTAAATAACACAAAAAAACATTCAAAAGAAATTCAGGACTTCTAAAACGTGGAATGTCTTTTAAACAGCTTTCAACTATATCTAAAAAGATTGAATTCTTGTGCTCTTTCGATAATGAAATATTGAACTTTATTTTAGTAACTTTTTTCTTGGTTTTTTCTGCATTGTCGACGAATTAATTGAAAATATTTTCTTCTTTATTTTTGCGTCATGTGAATTGTGTGTCGTTTATATTAATAATAAAGTAAACAACATAATGAATATGTTGGATACAATAGAAGTGTGAATAAGCAAAAGTAAAAAATTCGAAATATGTTAAGGTCAAAATATATATTAATTATTATAGCCTTCGTACGCGTAATTGTTTCGGTATGACATGCAGTTTTATATCCTTCTCTTGATAGAACAGCAAAAATTGCTGCTACAACGAAGTGGCTGGATCTTACCTTAAGTACTCTTGCGAACTTTTTTGTTTTCCCGAAATGAGGCAAATATCACTTGTACCATTGCTCGGCTTAAAGCTGGCTTAAATGCAATTTCGAGTGGGATCGCGCAGGGGACAAAAAGGACTTATACACGCGGGAGTATCGAACACAAACGTCATCGATCGCTCAAAACGTCGTCGTGGGAACGCGATTCGAAGCAACAGCTATTCCACCAGTTTCCATTGCGTGACAGAAACAGAGAGGGGACAGTTTCGACGTCGGATCCACAAACTCGACCGTAATTACTGGGTCGAGTGGAGTGTGAAACGATGTATATGTACAGGAAACGTCCCGGTGCTTCCTGTGGAATTGGAGTGCTGCCAGAGCACCGGTGTTTCAATAACCATCTTTTGCTGTTACATTTTAGGCTTTCAATCCATGGCTTTCAAAATAGACGACGTGTCCGGTCGCGCGCGAGAATTCTCGCGTGAATTATTAAGTATCATTCTTTTCACATGTGCCCCAGATTCACGTCCGACGATTTTCTCCAAATTCTTTCGCAACTTTGGAATCGATGTTTTCTTAAGGAAAATTAAGGTCCTACAATTTTCATGCTAATAGTAATTTAAAATTTAAAGAACTTTAACTTGGAAAGTGCAGCTCCAAAGATGTAAGCAGAGATGTAAAACCGCACATTTAATTTTAAATGAAATTAATTATGACAGAGTTTTTTTCTGTAAAGTTCAACTCTGGATAATTGTTAAAAATATAAAAGATGTCAAGAAAGACGATAATCACTTATAAAAGATCACTCAAAGCTCTTACTGTAGGAAAATTGAGTCAATCAGATAATTAAAGATGAAAGATAAAGTGCTGAGTATTGGAAATTCTGTAAAGCCGATGTCGTTAATGAAATATGCGATTGTTCGCTATGTTTAAACAGCACAATCAAATAATTACATTGATGTCGTAATTAACTGAACTGAATTATTACAGCTCAAGTGTAAGATGCGTCGAGAACACAACGATCGCAAAACACGATTCTCTCGTAACTCGAATACTGCTCACATTTCCCGCAGCGCAAGTTAATATTTTAAATTGCATTTTACACTGCGCTTTACAGTGGTATCGTAGCGTTTAAACGTCATTCCCGTGACGTTACATTTTCCATCTAATTATAAATAAATGCTGCCACGAGTCGTCCTTAATTACCTGCACCTGCCATGTTCTAAATACAAATTGCAGCATTTGAATAGATTCGCATCTGTAAAGTGTAGGTAGCGGGAAATCAAGTTTTCCCACTCTTACAATTTCTTTTATCGGACACGGAGCTAAAAAGATCGTACCCGATAACTACGGCTGCGAACCCAATTAATTGAACATCATCTTCGGCTGGCACCTCGTTTCGCTTCTGACTCTACTCAGGATTTCCAATAATTCCGATATCTCAAGAGGAAATCTGATTAGACTCTCCGGGTGTTCCTTATGGACCTAACGTACAATAGCCGTGTTATATACACATTTTTACCATGGCGATGCGTTCCAATGATATAAAGTTAAATGAAAAATCGGTAAGAAACTACTTTTAATTAAAAATTGATGCAGTTAAAAATAAATTCGTGATTTTAATATATTCATGACGTCAAAGATAAAATTAATATTAAAATTGTTAGATTTACGAATAGATATAATGAGGAAAATCATTATTTTTTTTTACCAAGTACTTTTTTTCGTATACTGATTGCTCATATTAGTTTATTTTCAAAAATTCCCAGAATTTCTCATCCAGCTGTTATTATCCCTATTGCAAAATTGCAGGCGTATGGTTCTAATTATCCTCGTGTATTTAAAGGCAAGCAAATGGCTCCAAAAGAGAAACAGAAAGAGAGAGGGGGGGGGGGTCAAAATCATCAAAAATATCTTTCTCTACTAAGTTTATGACTTATAAAGAAAAATAGTTTTTTGTCGCTTATATTAATTAATATATTTTTAAAAATTCTGAAATTTTTCTCTGATGAGCCGTTATTATCTCTATCGCGAATTTGCAGGCGCATGGTTCTAACTATTCTCGCGTATTTAAAGGTAAGCAAATGGCTTCTCGCGAGACGGTGAGATGCGAGAGAGAGAGAGAGAGAGAGAGAGAGAGAGAGAGAGAGAGAAGAGAGAGAGAGAGAGAGAAAGAGAGAGAGAGAGAGAAAGAGAGAGAGAAAGAGAGAGAGAGAGAGGACACGATCGACAAAAATATCTTGGTAACGTCTGAAATAAAACGTGCGCCAGAAAGAGAAGAGGCGGGTCAAAGATGTAGCGCGTCTCTGTTGCTTACGTTGTAGCGCGAATTTTTTATTGCATCATAGCACGGTGTCGCGAGACGTCGCGTCGCCGGGGCGAGGCAATGATGTAGAACAGTAGAACAGCATTGTGCGGTGGAATATGCATTATTTATCCCCGCTGGCAGTATTCTCGAGCACGGTCCAACGAGCCGCCGTCAACGACTCCGAAAATACACGCTCGAGCGCACGGGTCGTCTGTACTCGAGCCCATTCGGGTTGAATATAAAAAATTCGATGTGTCACGCGCACCGAGAGATAATCGTGCAAAGCGATATCGCACGGATATCGAACACCGGTCGTGTGTTTCCGCGTGTGGAAACGCACGCTTCTGCGATGCCGCGGTCAGCCGGCCGTTCTTGTCAGTGACCGACGGCTAAGAAAAGCCTCGCGCGGCATATATCGGGTGGCGCGATATTCTGCGAGTATGAGTGCTTCTTGAGCGACATTGC